TTCAAACACATTCAAAAATAAATTGTGAAATATTAATATACTATATAAAACTAATATTTTATAATTTATTATTTTTTTGAATACTTCTCAGTTTTTTCTTATTCAATTTTTACTAAATAATTTCTCATTTTCTTTTTATTCTTATTCATTCTACATGCTGTTACTAGTTTACATATCATTAGCCGAAAAAATAATCATATAACAATCTTACCACATGTTAAATTTTTGATACATATGATTATTTTGAAATTTAAGAAATCGATTTCAAACATTCTAATAATGTCATAATGCAATCAGACAAATCCCAATTATTATAAACACTATAACATCGATTTTGACTTTAATTTTGAAATCGATAAAATATCTAGAAGATAAAAACTCATATATTTTGAGTGTAAACCTATTCAATTGTATTTTACTAAAGGATATAGATTCATTCACGAACTTAAATAAGTGTTCACTACATTAAATTCTCATTATTTAAAATCTGATTATTTGGCTTGCTATTGTTATAAAAGTCTTAAGTGCTTGTGATCAGACAAATCTGTTTTTCAATAAGACATCTTAGAAAAAAATTGTAATTTGACTATTTCAATATCATAAACACATTTCTATTGTTATAAAAGTCTTAAGTGCTTGTGATCAGACAAATCTGTTTTTCAATAAGACATCTTAGAAAAAAAAATTGTAATTTGACTATTTCAATATCATAAACACATTTCTATTGTTATAAAAGTCTTAAGTGCTTGTGATCAGACAAATCTGTTTTTCAATAAGACATCTTAGAAAAAAAATTGTAATTTGACTATTTCAATATCATAAACACATTTCTATTGTTATAAAAGTCTTAAGTGCTTGTGATCAGACAAATCTGTTTTTCAATAAGACATCTTAGAAAAAAAATTGTAATTTGACTATTTCAATATCATAAACACATTTCTATTGTTATAAAAGTCTTAAGTGCTTGTGATCAGACAAATCTGTTTTTCAATAAGACATCTTAGAAAAAAAATTGTAATTTGACTATTTCAATATCATAAACACATTTCTATTGTTATAAAAGTCTTAAGTGCTTGTGATCAGCATCAGATATGAGTTTGGCAAGAAATAAATATGACTTTGTATAGCGATTATGATGCGGAATGATATCTAAAATGTCTATAATAACATTTTCGGAGAGATATTTCTTTGAATCAATCAATTCTGTTTTGTTCATTCTTCTTCTTTTTCCGTTTTCAGCTGATACAATGCAAGATATGAATCAATATAGTATTTGTAAGTACTTCGTAATTTGTTGTATTCTTTTTAATGAACGTCATGGTCCGACATCATTAATTTTTAAAAAAGACACATTTACATTTTACCATATGAAATACTCTTAAATTCATTAGAAGAAAAAAAAATACTATGTTACACATGTAGAAAACAATGACCATAAAGATTTCGGATATAATTTATTTCCAATCATTCCAAATCAATTGATTTTTTGAATGTAGATAAATGAATATATTTAATTAATATATTGATTTGAATTTTCTAGGATATATTGGTAAAAAAGGGGGTTGGCGTCCTAAGGCGTCCTAGTGTAAATTTCTCAAAATTGTGATATTTACATCACATTTTTGAGAGGTTTATGGGCGTCCTAAGGGAAAATTGAATAGCTAGGGCGTCCCGAATTTTCATTCTAAGATTTTATACTTAATTATGATGCATAATACAAAGAGCTTGACAAGATTTCAATAAAATCATTTAAGGGCGAACTTACCACTTTCTGACATGCATTGAAAAAAAAATCAATATATCTTTATTTTAATGCCAGTAAAGTATAGCAGTCATATTAGGTACTACGTAGTGATTTATATTTACTTTCTCCTCATCAAAAATATTAACTTTTGACTTTAGAATATTGAGATAGAAAGCTTGGGTGTCAAAAAAATTGAGAGAATGTCAGAAAGTGGTAAATGCACCCTTAAGGCTGCACTTACGGCCATCTGACTTTCAGTCAAATTTTTGACAACTGATGTGAAGCGTCATTGAAAATTAACCTTAAATATCTGAATTGAAGGCCATGTCATAGGGGCGTAAATGCGCCCTTAAAAAATTCTTCAAAATAAATAATATACTTTATAATCATACAAAAATTTATAAAAATAATCTATTGATTAACCCAAACAAACGAATTATCCTTTTGTTCGGCAAGTAAATCGACACTTTCTTCGTAAGTAATGTTAGGAGCTGAATCATGGTTAGTTGTATTAAATATCCAGTTTATCATCTTCAAATCCAACTCATTCGCTTTGTTGTCAGCGAGAATTGCGATCCATTTTGTATCTTTGCATCTTTTAGCGCATTCTTCATGTATCTTTGCTCTGAAACAGTCAACAAACATTTCTGCAAACTGTTCTGACCTTATCGAACCATCTTCTTCTGCAAATAAAATATTAATTACGAAATCTTTGACTTTTATGAGATCTTGCTTATAAAGGAATGGTTCATTATCAGATAGAAGCCTAAGAAATGCTTGTGCCATCTTACCATTTGGAATTTTGTGAGAAATCTTTTCAAATTCCAAGTTTAAATAAAAAGCATAAGCAATTTGATACATCTGTTCTTTTGTACCACCAAATGTCAAACTGTTGATCTTAAAATTAACAGGACATTTCGAATGTATCTCGATTTTGAAATCTGGAATGGAAATCAAGGCTTTTGGATCTTTTTCGCCAATTATTTCCATTATGTAATTGCAGATCTGGTCTTTTTCTAGGAAAAGCAGCTGGAAAAGCTTTTCTGAATCTTTTAATAAGAAATTTGCAATTGTAGAATGGTTATTCCTAAAGCAGCCGTAGATAAAGTCATATTTAATGTTATCCGCGTCGTTTAGTAACGAAAAGATGCTGATCAGGTCTTCTATTGATTGAATAGAATTTTTTGTTCGGTGAGTCAAGGCAGCTTTGACTATTTTCGAGTCATACTGCGAGAAGTCAACACCTGTAATGAGATTCTTGTTCGCAAGTATCTTTCCATCCTTGCATTTTACAATAGAAAGATCTCTCATCAAAGCTAAGTCATATTCTATAGTAGAAACGGGTAAACTATCCGCGGAGATGTTAATTATGATTTTTTCTTTGTTCTTAAGACTTTGGATAATTAAGGGATAGTCTCTCAAATTTGATAAAAGTGACAAGTTAATGATCGTTGCTATTTTGTCCATATTTTCATTTAATGTATGGTAGAGGACGATTTTGAAGAGTGCGCATTCTTTGTCATCAGCTAAAACATTACTTTCATCGGTCATGCTACATAACGCGATGACTTTATCTACGGATAATTTCGAAAAACACTGTACAAGCTCAAGCCACATCAATCTGTAGAACTTATACTGCCACAAGAGCTTTATGAACTTCATAAGCTCTATGAAAATGAACTCTCTATCGGTTTCTTCGATCCAATCTGTATAAGCAAAAATAAAAAGGTCTCTGACGAAACAGAGAGGCAAATCAGTTAGAGCATCTGACCATTTTTCGTATCTTGCTACTAATACTTTCTTTTCTGCTACTAAATTCTCATAAAATACGTAATCATTGAAATTTAAGACAGTTTTCTTCTGTAAATTCAAGAAATAGTTGTAGCCACGTTCGGAACTGTCTCTCTTATCATTATTGTCTCCTTCCAGGTGAGAATTGATTACTTCCTGGAATTTTTGAAATTCTGGTATAATTGGCTGCGAATCAAGGATATAATTCTTCGGACACTTGACTAAGTCAAATGTTTCGTGTGCGAAGAGATGAGTTTTCTTGATTTTGATGAGTTTTTTGTTGTAATTTACGCATTTTTTGTTATGATCGGTAAAATAAATAAATACTCTATCTTGTATAATTGTGCTATATGCTGTCTGCGGAACTGTCAAAGAGAACTTATATTGAGTAAATTCGTCGGTCATAACATTATAAGCTGTCCAAGCTAAAGGAGAGCTATTAAACTTCTTCTTCGGAGTAATATTAATGGTAGAAAGCATCGAGAGATAGAAATCATGAACAGATCCTGGAGTAATAAACAAATAATGATCTAAAAGCAAAGATTCGCAAATAAAGATCTTAGAACCACTAATCGGAACTTGGAAAATATCTGGGATGGGTATGCTTTCCCATTTAAGGTAATCTGGGTTAGATGTATCAATATCCCAGATACAATTAGCGACATCCTGGCCACTAAGTATGTAAATATGTCCGTTTAAGAAAGCTACGGATCTTTCGTGTAAATCTCGGTTTTGAATTGGATATAATGTCCATTTCGAAGTTTTCATGTCCCAGCTCCAGATTTCGGATAGTTTTACTAATCCTTCTGAGATATCTCCGTATTTGGTCATGCCTTCGCCACCAATTAGCCACATCTTTTCATTATTTTGATCCCAACAAGCTCCTGCGAAAATTCGAGCGCATGGCCATTGTTCTGTTGACGAATCTGACTGAGTAATCTTAGCTGGTGTTGATGATGCCGTATTCTTAAAGTGTTTCGTTCCTAAAACAACACCATCAGAATCCCAAGTATGAATTGTGAGATAATTATTGAATTCTACTTTAAATGATGTGTTGTCGTCATTGGGAACTTTATACGCTCCTCCAAAGGTTATTGTAGTTTGTCCATTTTTTATGGAAATTAAAGTAGCTCCAATAAGATTTGTGTACTTGACGTAGTCACTTTTCGTTTTTATTTCGTTTTCTACAAACTTTATCCAATGTACGTTGCCTGATTTTGGAGAATCTTTAAAATCTTTAGATTTTCCTCGTTGGGTAAGGGAATTAATATCACGGTAACCACCAATGATATGTTATACAGATAGTATTCATTATAACATTTTGAACATGTTATCGATGAATTACATATGGAGCATCCGGTTGGGCATTGATAAATCGTGTCAATGGTTATTTTTCCATGGTCAGTATTATTTGTTTGATTTCCATCTATGATCTGAGGCTCTTCAATGTATTCGAAACTTTCATTTAATAGAGATGAATTGAAAAGCGGCAAATAAGAAGTAGTTCCTCCTCTTCCTTGACAGTCAGAATGAGATTTATATGCCCAATTTCCGCCAATTCCACCATACCAACCAGCACCACCAGCACCTGGAATAGATATGGATTACTTAAGACTCCTTGAAAATTATTTTCATCGTCGATTATATTTTCCTTTTCGAGGATTCTGTCATTATCCAGTATTTTGACTGTATAATTTTGGCCACCACCATCTGATCCTTTGGTTCCATGATACCCACCTGCACCAGCTCCAACGGCAACAAAAATTGTATTTTCAAAACTCATATATGTAAGTCCACCACCACCACCGGAAGCATCATTACCATCAGGGATATCTTCACCACTGCTTCCTCCATATGGATATCCACCACGATGAAAATTTAATGTGCAATTATTATGCGGAGGTGTTTCACCGAGAGTAACATTAATCGACGGAGTTTTTTTGAAACGAATTCTGCATCTAAATCGAGCTCCATTGCCTCCTTCAGATGCATTTAATCCATCATCACAACCTTGGCCTCCTGCAGCTCCATCAAGAATAATATCATAGACACCAGCTTGGAAGGTATGAGTAATGTTAATAAATTCGATCATAATTGATGCAAATAGCATTATGTTATTTGAAATCCTTGTAATTTATTTAGGTATTTTTATAGAATAATGGAGTCAAATAATTTGCAACCAGAATTGTCGACTTTGATAATATTAAGAAATGGCAAAATTTGTCTTATCTCAATTATAATTTTTCAGTTAAGATTTATTTATTATTTGATTTTAATCGAAATTGTATTTTTTCTTTGCGATTGGTTTTTGATATCGCTCTCAATTAATATTTGAATAGGTTACAAAATATTCAGAGAAATTTGCAAGAAATAAAATTTATAACCATGAAATTGAAATTCTCGGGTATAGGATTATTTTTGATTCAAATGCTGTTCATATGCAAAAATAATCATATGCCTGAGGATCACACTTTTCTGACATTTTTGGTCGCTTCGCTCCCTTGACAAAACGTCGGAAAAGTGTAAATTTTGACAAATTGATAAACAAACGATTATCCGACAATATTTCTTTCTGATCTTATTTTTATTTTTGCAACAGAATTGGTATGTCCTTAAAAGCAAGTTAAATGCATCATCTTGAATTTCATTCTAGCTTTTATTATGTTTCTGAATTAATTATTATAATGCAATAATAAGAGGTGTCGAACCATATTTTATAAAAAGTTACAATTTCATTTAAAATAAATTATAAAAAACATTATTTTAATTTACACTTCGAATGAATCTAAAATAGACTGAGCGTATTTCTTCACTCTTGGGTCTTTTGCTTTCGTGAATGGTTGAATTGATTTCTGTGCTCCATTCTTCACCAAATAAGTTCTTGCTTGTTTAAACTGACAAAAAACAGCAATTTGCAGCAAAACTTTCCCTCCTGTTTCATCACCGTAAGAGAGAGCTTTAACCATCAAATCAAGAGCTCCTGCTTGTATCATTTGGTCCAAAACTGAAGCTTTCTTTCTGACAATGTTTCCAAGAACTCCGGCAGCGTTTTCAACAGTCCTAGAGTCAGTGGACTGAAGCAATTCGATGGGAGCGGATATGTCTTTGATGGCGAATTCAACGGCTGAAGTGTTTTTGGTCAGTAAATTTCCAAGTGCAAATGCGGCTTGGCGTTGTGCGGATTGGTTCTCATCGCGTAAATGCGTGACAATATATGGTGTCAGAGCGTTAACTACGTCCTCTTCAAGGGCTTGTCTCCGAGTGAAATTTCCAATGAAACTCAAAGCAGCGGTTCTGATCTGAACTGCTTCGGATTGGAGTGCGCGCTCGGCTAATACCATCACGCCGGCCTCTAAAAGAGAGGGAATGAACGCATCTGATAATCTTGAAAAATGAGCTGCGACCATTAGCGAAGTTTCGGCCGCGGAATCCAAGGCAAATAATGTTTGGAGTAGGGTGGGAGCAGTATTGAGTAAGGTTTCCGTTGGTTCTCGGAAAGATAATAAAACTTGGGTCCAAGCGTACATAACTTGCGGTGGAATTTGCGGGCCCATCTCGGATATCAAGCCGCTGACCACTGTAAGGTATTTGTTTTCGGTCAAAACTGTAATTAAATCTTTGACATTTTCTGGTTCGGCCAAAACGCTTGTTATGTATTCAGAAATAACAGTAGCGTTACTTGGTGATGTAAATAATCCAAGTAATGATGGTAAAATTGGGCAAACAATTGAAAATGGCAAAGTAAATATGGTTGATAACAAAGCTGGTTGATGGATTGGCAAAAGAGAGGTAATTCCGACGATACATTGCTGTAATAACTTCTCTTTCATAGGGATATGTGCGAAAGGAGAAGATAAAATTGAGACATAAGATAAAATCTCGGTATCTGTCTCCGGCATCTTCGAACCTATATCCATTAACGTGTATAGTCTGTTCTCTATGCCTTCTTTTCCGCAGAAAATGCCGTCGACGAACTGTTGCATGTTGGATAAACTTTGTCTGACGGAGAATTTCGACTGGAAGTCCGAAATTTGGGCAAGTAAGTTAATGGAAACGGCAATGAATGAGATGGCGCTCGAGAAAACGCAGAAAGAACTTACATTATCTATTTCACCATTAACTATTTCGAAAAGTGAGTCAACAAATGGCGAAATCGGTTGTATATATTTAATTAAACCGTTGTTCTTGTCAATAACTTTTGTCAAAATGCAAAATGCAGCAGATTTTACCGCCATTGAAGGATGGTGGATAACTGCGCTTGTTGCAATAGGTAGAAACTGTGGTGCGAAGTCACCTGTAAGAGAATTGAGGAGGATTTCGGATGCTTGAGTAAGATATGCAAGAAATACGTAAGTTCTTTCAACAGCGTCAACATCTGGAGCGAAAAGGAAACTGAGGAGACGATCTCTGAGTTTTTCGCTACGTTCTTGGTTCAATTGTAAGTCTGTAATTGGAGGATCTGAATAATTTATTGCTGCAGCTGCATAAGGCACTGAAAGTAGGTTCGTAAAGAAGTTTACAGCACATATTGGCATTTCATTCATACCAAATACTTGTAAACCGACTGAAAACGGATTAATAAATTTATCTTTGTCTGCAGCGAGAAGTTCTGTAGCACACATAAGAGCTTCTTCAAGAACAATTGGTTTCGAAATGAATTCTTTGAAGTGGAATGAGAAAGAAGCTGCCAATGGAGAATCTCCCCCAACATGTAAATCTCTGAGGTATTTAACGGCTGCCAAAAGCTCTTCTGGTGATCTAACCGATGGGTTAACGAAGATGGACTGGAAATCAGGAAGCTTCGACTTTGGTGGATTGAATGGAATCGGAGCCGACGGAGAAAGTGACTCTGTAATGGCTTCTTCGAATTGTTTCGACTTGAACTGGTAAACGTGATCATCGAAATCTTGTAATTTTACGTCTGCGATGAATGGATGTTGAAGTAATTCTTCACATGAAACTCTTTGAGCAGGATCCTTCTGAAGCATCTTCAGTAAAAATCCTTTGAAGTTCTCGGAAATCGGACCGGGCCATTGGATAGGATCATTAACAATCATTTGAATTAATTTATAAATAGAATTTGTAAAGAAAGGAGGTTGACCGTAAAATAACTCGTAAAGAATGATACCAAGTGACCAAACATCAATCTTTTCATCGTACCTTTGTTCTTGGACAAGTTCTGGTGCCATATAAAGTGGTGTGCCTTTAATGGAGTTTAAAAACAATGTTGTACTTGATAATGCACGTGCAAAGCCAAAATCGCATAATTTAAGAGCGCCTTTATTTGTAATAAGAATATTTTGTGGTTTCATATCGCGATGAATGATTTTATTTTTATGTAAATAGGCTAAAGCGGATGTTAACTGTGCAGCAACTGTCTTTAACACATCTTCCGGCAATGTTTGGTTATCGTCGATGATTTGGAACAAATCTCCACGCGCAAGCTCTGAAACTACGTTGAAATCAGTATCTGATTCAAACATATCAAGCATGCGCATGATGTGTGGATGATTTACTTTCTTCAAAATATTGATTTCTCGCTTGAATGAAGTCAAATCATCTTTAGATTGTCCCAATTTATTAATCATTTTAATGGCAACAAGACGGCCGGTAAATTTTCTTCTTGCTTTGTACACACGGCCAAAAGAACCCTCACCAATTTGCTGGATGAGGTGGTAATTCTCCATGTTTATTGAAAACGGTTTTTTTGTTTCAAAAATGCAAAAAATAATTATCTTGTAATTATAATAATTAGCTTTTAGATATTCTGTTATTCATTTTTCATCGTATAAGTTATAGATAAAACTCATTGTAATGTTGAAATCAATCAACTTTTACAAAGTTTATGATATGAGATCATCTAGGATTGCATTTGAGGTTAAAAACTCTATATCAACCGAACAATGAAATGAAGATGCGCATTCTATTTTGATATACATTATTATTGAAAACAAAAATGAATTTATTACATGAGTATGGAGCAATTGTTCATTTTATGAAATGTCATTATGATCTTAACACTAGCACGCCATTAACTGCCAAAAGAGAATGGAAAATTCTATGAATATATGATAACATTCAACACCATAAGAAGTATAACTATACTTTCGATAAGTATTGATATTACTCATATACAAATTCCTAAATTATGCAAATTGAAAGATTTGAAATTTGAAATTCATTGTTTATTAAAAAATAGTATAATACTTGAGAATAGCTATTTGTTTGTTATGATATCATTTAATAGAAAAAGCAAAATCACTGACATATCAGAAAAATTTTATTTAAATTTAATTTAAAATTCATGTATTATGTTTTATTCAAATGATTAAAGGTCATCACCGATCTTCCTCTCCACCTCATCTCTAAGGTTTTCTCTTTCTTCAGTACGTTGTTGATTTTCTGCCACTTTTTCAGCTTCAGGAGGTGGAGGAACATCGTGTTCTGGTGGTGGCGGTGGTGGTGGAACATCATGCTCTGGAGGTGGAGGAGGTGGTGGAGGAACATCGTGGTGATGGTGTGGTGGCCACTCGCCTTCCCATCCTTCAGGCCGAGGAGGAGGCGGAGGAGGTGGTGGTGGCCATTCTCCCTCGTATCCCTCTGGTCTTGGCCCTGGATCGAAGTCTGGTGGTGGTGGAGGTCTGTCCCAATCTGGAGGTGGTGGTGGAGGTTCGTATGGTGTTGGAGTTGGTGTTGCTGGTGGAGGAGTCCATCCCTTTGGTGTTGGTGTTGGCTTCTTCTGTCTCTTTGAACCATTCATGTTGAACTCCAAAATCTGGCGCTTGACATTGATCTGGTTGTGCTTTGTCTCTGGATTAACTGTCTTATTCCAGTGTGTCAAGTTGTAGTAGTTCTCCTCGAGCCATTCCTTAGTATGGTTGTAGTTATCTACGAGGTTATCGTATGTATCTTTGTAATGAGTGACCAACCATGGTCTCTTCTTTGGAACTTCTTCCTTCAAGTACTTGGCGACCTCTCTGATTGTCTTGTTGAGTGATTTGAGGTTCTCTGGGATGAGTTTCCACTCTTCAATTCTCATTTCGACATCTTTTGTAGTATCTTTGAACTTGTTGAGCTGATCTCTGAATACTTGTGAGTGTGCGAATGGATTGTTGAGGTTGTCTAAGAATTCTTGTGCTTCCTGAAGTCCCTTTGTGATATTTACTTTATCTCCTTCAGACAAGAACTCCTTGAACTCGTCGTCTGACTCCATCTTCTCGCGAATCTGGAATAAGTAGAATTCTAATTCGTTTCTTGTAGATGAAGCGTTGTGTCTATCGCGTTCGATTTCTTCCATCTTCATGATGAAAGACTGTGAGAAGTTGAAGCGCTCCTCATTGAGCTGCCAATCAGAGAAGTAATGTGTGACGTTGAGCTTCTTTCCGTCGCATTCGATCTTTTCAATCGCTGGGAGGGAGAAAGTGTCCATTCCGTACTTGATCATGACTTCTGCATCTTCTGGGAAGGTGACGTTCTCTGGGAAGTTGATGGAGAAGATGTCAAGTGGTCTGGCGTAGTCATCGTCAGCATAGATGGTGAAGTTTGTATTGTTGACTTTGGCGAGTGGGTAGTATCTGATCATGAACTTCTCGGCTTTGTCCTTTGGTTTGTAAAGGTCTGTCTTGTTTCCGTTGACTTCAACTTCGATATGAGTGTTGCAGAAGGTTGTTGATTTGATCTTCTTTGGTAATCTGTAGGATGATGACTTGGTGGAGCCAAGAATTGTAGCACCAAGGATGACGGCTTCTTCTGGGTTGAGAGTATGGGAAATCTGACCAACATGAGTAACATTGGCCATGACTTCATGGAGAAGCTGTGGTCTGGAGTTGCCACCGATAGCTTCGACTGTATCGAGTTTGGAAATTCCGGCCTTTTCCATAGCATCTTTGATTAAATCGGCCAAAGAGTCAGCAAATGGCTGGATAAGCTCGTTGAACTCTTCACGTGTGATGTAGTATTCGAATCTCTCGTCGTCAATGACATCTTCCATAGAAACTGTGTATTCTATGTCGATTGAGAGACGTTCCTTGGCCATACGAGCGGCTGTGTAGAATCTGTTCATGACCTTCTGTGAATCGGTCGTCTTTCCGAACTTCTTGACGAATTGTTGGTATAAGTGGTCTCCAACGACCTTATCCATGGCGTTACCTCCGAGGGTTCCGTTAGTAACGATGGCCTTCTGGTTCATGATGACGTCCTTTCCCATTGTGCTGAATGAGAAGATGGAAATCCAGGTTCCTGTTGCGCCAATGTCGATGAAAGCGATATCATTGGAAAGTCTCTTTGTTCTGCCAAGAACGTAGTAGTGAGCAACAGCTGTTGGTGAGTCAACAATGAAGTTCAATGTTGTATTAGCGAGACGAGCAACTTCCTTAAGGGCATAACGCTCGTGGCGTGAAAGGAATGGTTCTACAGACAATGTAAGCATTGTCTTCTCTGGTGTATAGACACCAGAGTCCATTGTGAATAACAAATAACGAAGAGTTGCTGCCATAGCTTCTCTGTGAGAGAGGCCAATTGATTCATTAAGTAATGGGAAGAAACTTTGGATAATATTGTTCGGATGTCTCTTGGCGTGGTTTTCGGCAAGTGATGTGTAGTCCCATGTGCAATTATCGATATCATCAATAGCCCAATGTGTGCCATTGAGTGGATGGGAGTTCTTTGGATCTGAGTAATTGTAGAAAGCAAAGTAGGATGGTGACAATTTCTTGGATTGTTGGTTATTTACAGCAACAACACCACTGAACTTGCCCATACCTGCTTTGATGTTAGCATGACCGAAGTCAATGCCAACCACAACAGATCTGACATTTGAGAAAAGAAGGAAAGAAAACATTTGAAAAAAATTAAATAATCGTGCGGCCATTTAAGTAGTAGGGTATGACGGGTTTTGTGACTTTTTTTGTTACATCTATATATAGACGATGCATTAAAATATATTTATTTATAAATCATTAAAAAAATTAACATTAATTTTAAAATAATTTTTTTTATCTTTTATAAAAGAAGCTATATATAGATGATGTCAGATATTCCGCGATTAATTAAACATTGTTTAAATCCTGAATGGGTTTAAATATCATCCATGTAAAATTTTAGAACTTGGTAACGAAAAACTTCAGAAAAAATTAAACGAAAGACTATCAAAAGAGAAAGTTGAAAGAGTAAATAAACTCGCTAAAGGTAATGGTAATGATGAAGAAGAATTTGATGAGTTCAACATAGAACTTTAAGAAACTAATGATTATTTGAATTTATGATATCAATTATTTGATTCATTCTTTCTTCAATCTCTTCTATTCTTTTTGTTAAATCATCTATTTTCATTAATGAGGTGATTCTTGATTGAGGAATAGATTTCAAACTAACCACTCCTTTTATTTTTGAAATTTTGAATCCATCAACTTTAAACATTTTATTCAATTTACATGTTGTCAATTCTTCAAATAATTTTTATTATTAGCATAATAGTCATTAAATTCTTCAACAGATGAAAAAATTTTTATTTCAGTAATTGGTTTAACAACGTTTATTTTTTGTTGAACATTTTCACTTTCGTTTATTTCTTCCTCCTCTGTTTCATTTATTTTTAAAATCGGTTTCATTTATCATTAAATAAAAATTAGAATATAAGTGATGAAATATATTTTTTTAATTAATATTAAATAAGAAATGGCGGCAGGATTCTATAAAAAATTATGGGATGGAATTAAGAAAGCTGCGGGTTGGGTTCATAAAAAGATTATTAAACCCATTGCAAACTTTTTGGCACCAGTAGCGAAAACGGCAGGAACTATCATAGGTGGAGTATTAGGTACTAAAGCAGGTAATCCGGCGATGGGAGCACAAGCAGGTAACGCAATTGGTGGAATAGCTGAAGGAATACTTAATAAAATAGGAGGTAGATAGTGGAAAAATAAATAAATATTATTTTTATCTTAGTATCGGTTGTAGTCTTTGATAAACTTTTTCTTCTTTATTTAAAACTTCTCTTATTGGGGCAGCTTTTGGTGTTATTGATTCAGCAACGTCACTAATTGCTTCTTTATTCTTAAATATCCAATTTGCCCCCCTTCTTCAATGTTTCCCAAACTTTACTCGCTCCTCTTTTTACTCTATCCCACAGTTTCTTAAATATACCTGCAGCCATAGTTGATTATTTCATTAAAATTAAAAATTCATTTTCATCTTTTAATTTTGATTTTTTATTTATTAATAAAATGACGACTAACTATTTGGTGCCAAACACTAAACCGATTAATGGAAATGTATTTCATTCATTCGAAAAGATAAATGAAATATTCGCAAAGAATGATGGTAGAAGATATTATAGAGAACTTGAAAGTTCATGCTATGACTCTGATGCTCCATATTTTGATGATAAACAAACTCATTTAAGAATTACAAACCCAGCTCATGATGTGAACCAATTAGGTGACACATATATTAAACGCAAAGTTAAAGCAACTCTAGTTTCAAATAAAGCTTTCACATGTGATGCCGCTTTTAAATGCATGCGTTTATTCGTTGGTTACAAATCATCAAATCAAAGCTTTAAACAATTAGAAGTAGAAACCGAAAGAGGTGATGCCGGTTATCTTCAGATGGATTGCGCCCGTGAATCTTTCGCATTTGCAACATATAAACCAAAATCAGAAAGGAAAGTTAAAAAGTTTGTTCATTCGTTATATAATAATGTTCAAAAATATGATAACTCGGTATGTGGTAAATATATTGACCCTTCAGAAGTTTTCAAGAAAGCAAATGAAGAAGTTGATATCACTTTTGATATGATTATTCCGGTAAATGATTTGTTAGCATTTCAGGCGTTTGATGATTATCCTAAATCATTTGGTGATATCATTCTTAAATATTATGTTTTCAGGGATACTTTAGTATTTTGTCAGGTTGACCCGTTAAGAGTTGCTGATTTACAAAATTATGTTTATGAAAAGATAACTGATGAAAATTATGAAAAGATTATGAATCATGTTTATAAATATGATCGCAAATTCCAACAAATCGGACTTCCTGCCAAATTAATTACAAGCTTAGCCGCTACATCTGCTGACGCAACAGTTGATGACGTTATTATTTCATGCACAAAGATGGAAGTTTTAGAGGATAAATGCATTACACCAGGATACGGTTTAATTGAAGAATCAGTTAAAGCAATACCACGTTTATTCAGTAAGGAAGATCCATTCATGATTCCAGCTCAACATATTGACGTTCGTTCACTAAATGGAGGTTGCATCACTCCTGAAGGTATTAGCTCAGATTTCTCATACGCTCTTCATAATGTTACAGATGTTGTGTTAGCATTTCCGAAGAATGCAATGCAAAGAACAGTTTTAGAAAATCCAATGCTTCGAGGTCTTCAGGTCACTATAGATTCCAGAAACTTCCCCGATCAAGCGATGACCACAGTGGGCGACATTCTTTACACGTATGCTTCAAGCTTCTGATTTAGATGGAGTGAATGAATGCACAGAAGAATACGAGGACTCATTAACTAGACCACTGAATGCAGATGATGGCACGCCATTAGCTAGAACATGGAAAGACCAAACTTCATTCTTATGCACTATTCCAGTTCAACGTGATGGAGCGGGTATATTCTTTGATGGATTAGAAACTTTCAACTCACAAGTTACAGTACAAGTGAAAGCTTATCCAATCATTCAGGGTGAAAATGACACTTACTGTTCAAAGGTGACAAATCCTCCTCAGGTTTGGTTTACTAGGACTACATATTGGACATGGACACCGGATGAAGGTTTGAAATATCATCCAACAGGTACACCACCACAGTATAGAAGTTCATATGATGAAATATTGATGAATAGAAATGTTTAAAATTATAAATTTATTTTTGATTAAATGGATTTAAATTCATACACCCCTTATGAAGAATTAGCAGGAGTATATAATACATACATAGATGATATGATTAATGAAGCATTGAGTGATAATAGAAATGCTCTATCTAAGGAAAAATTAATGAAAATTCCATATTCTGAATGTTACTTAAATTCAATCACTGCAGCAATTGGTAAACAGAATAAAGGTAAAACATTAACGATATTAAAACAAATTATCATTATTGCTAACACTTCCCCCCATTCACATGTGTTAATTTATATCAACCGTTCAGGTTCACCTTCAGATGATACATTTGAATCTTTAAAGCATTTAATCAAAATTCCGATTATTTATTTATCACAAGAAGAAGCAGAAGATTATTTAAAAAACTTTTTAATGTATAAAGAATTATATAATACAATCAAGAAGCAAGGATTAGAGGATAAAATTATTGATAAACAACGGGATGAATTATTTGAAACACTTTCTATTTCAAATTTTGATAGAGAATTTTTGCATTCACTCATTTTTCTAGATGATGCAGTGAAATCAAAACTATAGGGTGTCCAAAGGTGCGTTTAGCACAGCGCTCTATATGAGACTATTAAAGGAGATATATGCTGATTATAAATATATAATAAAAAATATGAATATATGTATATGATGAGTATGTTGTATTTTGGCGCCATGCCGGGATATAAAATGAATTTTGAGACAAGAGGCGGTTTCGCGGGAAATTTTGGCGGGATTTTTTTCATTTTTTTAATGAATCATAAAGAAAACATCCTCGCTCTTGCAAAAAAATGCAAAGACTGTAAAAAAATCTACGAGACATTGGTAAAATGCTTCGGTATGGATGCTCCTAGCTATTCCACTGTAACGTATCATGTTAGGATGTATCACCTCATGAACAAAAAGGCGCCCATCATAAAAATTGACAAAAATCGCCGGATCAAAGAAAAATCAAAGCAATTCTTCAAGCGCTAGATGAAGACCCAAGAGCATCACTCAGAAGGATAGAGGAGATGACAAAGATACCAAGTACAACAGTCAGTTATTATCTGCACAATTATTTGAACTACAAACTAGCGTATACACGTTGGGTTCCGCACAACCTTAATTCAGTTCAAAAAAAATCTAGAGTCCAATCTTCGAAAGAGCTCCTCTCTATATTGGGTGCGTATCAATCCAAGAAGTTTCGCTTTTTAGTAACAGGGGACGAGTCTTGGTTTCAATATGCAACAGAAGCCAAAATCATGTGGATCCCGAAGGATGAAAATCCGCAAACATTCCCGAAGAAAAAAATTGACACACCAATGATGATGTTGTCGGTTTTTTGGGGCGTGAATGGCATCATCGCAATTGATATTCTTCAAAAACCTAATACGATGAATGCTCAGTATCTAATTGACAATGTTCTTACTCAAATTATCAATTCTGATGAATTTGAGAAATCCAAACAACAAAAACAAAAGTTTGCAATTCATTTTGATAATTCAAGAGTTCACAAAAGTCATAAGGTAATGAATTACTTGGTGGAAAACAATGTCAAAGTTGTTCCAAACCCAATTTATTCACCTGATATTGCACCCTCTGACTTTTATTTATTCGGCACGCTAAAAAGAGAGCTGAAGGACGCGAATTCGCGAGTCCAGATGATCTTGAAAATTTTGTAAGAGAGCAATTTGAGCAATTTTCTCATGATGATTTAAAGCGTGTCTTTCAAGCCTGGATCGATCGCTGCGAACGCGTGATTGAATCCAATGGTGATTATATTTAAATAAACTTTATATATATGTAACTTGTTTATTTCTATTCGCAGTATTCAGGTTTGTGCTAAACACACCTTTGGACACCCTATATAACAAAAACAATTACAATGACCGATCCGGATAGTGGGAAACAAAAAGAAATAAAACAAACGATAGAAACTGGTGAAAGGTCAATTATTATTGATTATGATTCAAAGGA